AGTACCACAATAAATATTATAGCATGTTTTTATTGCGTCTGGCTATCAAACTCCATTGTAATTTGGCAAATTGAGCATGATAGGCTAATACTAGGTACAAAAATATTTAATTTAATTTAGTCTTAAGTCCTGACATTGTTATCGCTATCAGTGTGTTATAATAATAAACATATCAGTCTACATACAGTTCAAAATATGCTGCCTAATCTAAAACGGAAAAAAGATTCAAATATTAACAGCTTCACGAGATCTGAGAACCAGTTTCGTAGCTCCGACAAAAAATGAAAACAAAACAGTAATGATACCGTCTAGCCGCGCCTAATGGCGTAAAACAAAAAACCTCTGAACCGGGCACTGTATTGATGAGTTTTGTTCTGTTACCGAAAATTACTTTGAAAATTCTTTGAACGAAGCCTCACAGAATGGTGCTCTTTATAGGTGATTTTTGACGACCGTTAAATGGTCTGAAAGTCTTATAGTCTGTGGAATAAAGGCGCGAATTCCCTTGGACTCCAATATGGCGGCCAATGCAGCTGCAGTTTTTTTTCACAAAGCGAATAAAGCGTGAGTCAGCGTCTATCCAGCCAGACATGTTGGTTATTTGCGTACGATACGCTAATACCGTCCAATAATTAAATGAAAATTTAAAATCTGTTTATGGGTCATATAATATTATGTTTTGTAGTTCACTAAACCTTTTTAAATCGTGTTCCTTTTTTGATTATTCTAATTTTATGTTTCTTTATTGTTCTTGAAATAAAAAATAGTTTTTATAGTAAATACGTAGTCTGAATCGTTGCGATAATGGCAATACATACTAGGTCGATATAAAATATGTTAGGTAAAAAATTGTTTTGTTGTAATTTATCTTCGTCTATTTTGTTTTATAAACCATGTGTGTAATTAGGAGCAGGTTAGTGTTATTTAAAATGGTTAGTTACAGACAATTAGGCTAATGTGATACCATGATGCCCCCACTTTAGTTTAACGTGTCACAAAAATAGACACAGCATGTTCGGAATCAAATTAGGAGTACTAATTTGCTCTGTAGGTAGTTCCTAACTTTCAAATTAATCTACATTTGAAACTCGTTTGCGTGTAATTGCCTACGTTTCATTTAAACTAAGATTTGAACTTCGATTTGTTTTGGTTAACCACTTTGTTTTTGTATTTTATTTGGCCATATTTATGGACATCAGGTGTTTGTTTTCGTGCTTCATGCTCGGGAGTTCGGTGGAGTTGTGCCGTGCATGGAGTTGAAATTTACGACACGTTTTTGTTCAACATTGTTGACGCTTTTTTTGGTTTTGCCATATTGTTTTGGTATTTTGTTTGCCCATATTTATGACAATTTGGCCTCATTTAGTTTAAACGTAAAATAATAAGTTTTTCTAATTACATGAATATAAAAGCTAGCCGCTGACTTTGTATGATATTGAAATTTCCTAGGGAATCAGGGAATTCAATTACAATTCTCTCTCCATTTAGCATTTTGGACTATAGTAGGTACCTATATAATATTTTATTTTAAGCATTAATCTACTCATTTTGTATCAGCTCTTTTATTCTGGCACGATATTAGTGAATATATCGTTTTTCAATTTTATACTTCTATACTTTTCGCTGGCTTGAAATTGCACAGAAATCAAATAACGTCAGTGTAAATCGTGAGAAGGCGCTTTATTGTGATTACTATCAATGACAATGGTCATGGTGTTAACACGCATTTATTGTATTAAATTTATGTTCAACAGATGATTGAATATATCTCCTCTTCCAATTGCGATACCCTACAGAGTTCATAATGCACTTTTTATCTCTTAAAATTACCACCTTTGTATCTCCGTTATGGTCTGCAATAAATGTTGAATTGAGTTGAAATTTTAAATAATAAGCAATAAAATCATTTATGAAAAAGTCGTGCCGTAGTTTGATTAATTATTGTAACTTCCTAAATCTGTCAAAAGTGGAGACACTTACCCTCTTCATTATAAACGTAGAATAAGCTTGGATTAGTTAATCTATGTTGTGTCTCTTGTTCTGTTCGTTGAATGACAAATGGTATTTGAGTGAATGAACAATACATGGCGTATATCGTGTAAGTTTATTCCTTGTTTATTAATAAGGGGGTTAAAGTTTAAGTGTCTCCACTTTTGTCACAATTAATTATTTATTTAATGCCTTTACATTGCATATGGCGGACTTAATGCCAGCATGGCATTCTCTACCAGTCAACCGGAAAGAATGTGCAGAGTCAGTAAAACGGCAGACAATCATAGGAGAGAGCAAACATCAAACAATGAAAAACAAAATTAAATAGCACATATATACATACATACAAACATAAATATACATACATACACACACATATATACATAATATACCTGTAATGTAGTGTCCGATTTTAGTATCCTAATTCAACTTAAGCACTATGCAATAAATTCAAATAATGTTCCCTCTCTTAAACACCGCCTTTTTGAGAGCGTTTCGAACGTCGAGAGGAAGTGCATTCCAGATTATTAACTATTGTGTATATAATATAAGTTTCTAAGTCTTAAACACTTATATTACGTATAATGTCTTATTACAAAGTAACAAAAACGGCATTAATGTCTAACAACGTTACAAAAGAGCTAACAAAGTCCACCGCTTGCTGATATCTGTTGGTAAAATTATCATAAATACAAAAAAAGTGACAAACTATATCTTTCAATAACTGTCTGTCAGTTAAGATGGAAAGAAACAAAAACGTATGCTGGTATCATAAAATGATGGGACATTAACAGTAGCTTTAAAATAACCAGCTTCATATAGAAAGCCATACACAAACATTAACCGAGTATGCTCAATCAAAAAACCAATATCGGTACTGCACTTTATTGAAAACAAGTATTTTGGAAAAGGTCAAATATGGAAAGTGTCGGACGTATGACGTGTTTCGTGAACCCAACATTATGTAAAACTCCGTACTGACTCTAGGACACTTGTATTGAACTTAAACGTTAACTAACTTTATGTTGTACAGAATATTTCGTGCGTTTATGGGGTCATAATGATTTATATTATTTACAAATCTTAAAACAACTTGTAAGATATTTCATGAATTCACAAAAGACACATAGTGGTTTCGATTCTGGCATGGTTCTCTAAACTAAATTTACATCAGTCTCTCTTTTTCATACTGTATATAAAATGACAAGGATACACTGTTGTCAAATTAAGGTTTAGGTTTTGACAATCATGCCAGAATCGACACCATTATGTAATTAGCAAAGTGTTATAGTTACCTTTAAGGACAGAACTGTAAAAAACGAGATATTGCATGTTTTCGTAATTTTATTGGGGATATGCTCATATCATCTATGAGCATTTCCCCAATAAAATTAGAGAATTGCTCTAAATAAAAAGTTAATCACATTTCCGGAAGAACTTTAACAGTGTCATTACTTGAAATGGTTTTTGACCCATTAACGTCCCACATCTTCCTGTATGGCAGAAACGCCACTGAGAATTAATCGACATGCGGTACTAACTGTTCTGTGGGTGTTTACGACTCGCATGCGTTCCGATACACATTGACTTTTAAGGAAACCTCTAAAACATGACACAAGTACTCGTACTCGTGCGTGTAAATGCACGTAATATTTTTGTTTAAAAATATTGCAGTACCCTTAGTACGAGTTTGAGCTCACGAAAACTATCATAGTTTTCGTAATGTAAATTATGTTTCTATGCCTATTTTGGTGAAAAGTAACCAAGTATACTTAAAATTTAAGAAGACGCAAGTCATTTAATGATAGAATTTAAACACTGTTTATTTGTATAAAAAAGAAAACAATAAAATCAGTAGGTACCCTTAGTACGAGTGCGAGCTCACGAAACCTATCATAGTTTTCGTAATTGTATAACTCGTACTAAGGGTACAGTACTGAAGCGACGGATCGTCGTATACAGTTTCGCAAAACATGCATACAAGGACCGCATGCTGAGTCCAAAAGTCCAAAGAGGTTGTAAATTTTAACGTGAGTTCAAGTAACCACCGAAGTATTTATTTGCTTCGGACACTTTGATTTTTATTAGATAATGAAGTTCTTAAGCAATAAAGAAAATAGTTTTCTAAAGACCGTCTTATATTACCTACACATGACTAAGAGAGAGCCCTTATGAAGGTAAATAAGTGCAGAGCTAAGAAGCAGTTAGTTAGTCTGTTCCTTGTTCATTTCTGTTCTGTTCCTAGTTCAACTGAATTTTTAAATGCAAATTATCCCTTTAATTGACAAAAGCATATTCATAAATGTCAAAGGTACTTAATAAAAACTCCGAAAAAACACGTGTAAAATATTCTAAGGAATTCGTTTAATAACGATAAATTTTCACGACATTTGTTGCAAACTGCAGCAAAAAAGGGCCAACGATTTGCGCCGTGGAACATTAATATTGCTTTCCTCTACCACGCGTCCCGCCTGACGTTCCAATATTTAATTACTACGTTTACAAACACTTGATTCATGAGACGCTTAATTTAAAAGTGTTGATTTAAAATTTGACGGCACCAATGAATTCAGAAGCCGAGCCATATATCATGAGATCCACTAATGAATCAAGCATTCATGTTAAATTGCTACGAAATCCAGTCTTCATTTTATTGATACTCATCATGTAAATTCCTACGATTTGGAAATCATATCGTATATTAGGAAACACGGAGCTACTTACATCATAAAAGACAGTAATCTGAAGCGTAAGGCCCATTTAAATTCCAATCTCCGCATCCTCTTTGATGTAATTGGTTATAACAGTCCATTCCTAACGTACAACATAAATTATATCATTATCCTTCGTTCGAATGGCTCTTCAAGGATCGTCAGCGCGTAAATCGATTGCCATGCATCGAGCGACAACCGCACAGTTTGCATACTAAACGTTAAATGTGTCAACAACATCCAGGCGGTTGGACGTGGTCATCAACGCGATATTAACGACATTCATTATCTTTCCAGACTTGGCCGCGATACGACAGCTGCTGGAGAGCGAGACGGGCGGCACAACCTGTCCCAGTTGTAACATGCCCTTTGACAAGGGCAAAAAGAGAAAGTTGATCGACACCTGTGGACATGAACGCTGCTACTCCTGCATGTTCAGAAACGAAGCCTGCCCTATATGTGCGAGAAACAGTCAAGGACGAAGACAAACGATGGAGAGATACACGCCGTCGCCCCAGCGGCAGGATCAGGATTGGCAATCGCCGATGCGTCTTCCGAAACCACCGAAACAACCCTCTAATTTAGCGCAGAACTGCCCCACACCACCGCACACAAGGAGAAGATTCTTTCTCAGTCCCAAATCACTGCGGAGCCCGTTCGGACAACGTGCTTCGAGGCATTCTCATGAAAACCACGTGCCTCTGTCTGGTAAGTACTCGTAGCTTTATCCAGATCCTATTTACATATCTGTGGGCTCGCGCGTGGTAGCCGATGATTTGCATCGGCATTGCGTAAGCCGCCGGTCCGGTGTGCACGCAATGCACTCCATTGATACCTTCTACGGTAATGTTGAATCTCATTCACAGCGATAGTACAGCCACTCACTTTCCCGAGTGATGTGCTTCGTTTATGTTTTGGTAAACGTCGAGAATCCTTCCTCATAAATAATGCTGAGTGACACTTGCGACACGGACGCGCGCCCACGCTGCTGCGCCGGATGTACGTAGGTTCCCTAAAGGACCGGTTGTCTGGCTCGCGTATTTATTAGTTTAGGTATAGGCCCGTTAGCTACTTTTGCAATTCAGCCCGCGTAGACAGGCCGGCTGCGGACTTTATCTCGATATCTGTTACAGTTTTCATTTCCATTAATTATATCATTCTGGTCCGCTCTATTTTGCGATGGCGTGGCGGCCAGCGGATTGAAATATACGCGTACATTCACAGCTGTAGGTTTCTTAATAATCTATTAGTTCCAATTCGCCACGGCCCTTGCCCCCTCGCGGGTAATTAGTCTGTCGATTGGTTATAACGTTTCTATCTGTCTATATCAATAATATTGTCTAATAGAATTTATAATATACAGTTCATTGGTTAATCAATTAATCAACTAAGGAAATATCTTTGAAGTTTGCATCAAGATTTTACGTCAATGAACAAATATCCTCAACAGGGTTACCAGAAGAAGGGCCGCGATCAGCTGCGTGGCCAAGTATGGTGTTCAATAAGATCAGGTCGCTATGGTCTGCGCACTCCTCGGTACCACAGGGGCTCAACCAGTTGACAGGCACGGAGATAATATTTTAAGTAGCCTAAGGGATGTGAGCTATAAAACTTTATTCACAGATGCTGTTTTTATCAATTACATTAAATGAGCATCTCAATTCTAACTTAAGTAAAAACATTAAGCTCACATTCCTTAGGTTAAATACGTGGTTGCTGCTCGAAATTGCACTAGTTTTTTTAACGCCTGTTTGCATACCACAATCGTTTTCAAAACACACTTCTTCTGATTTGTTTTATTTGTTTCCTGCATCTGTGTGTCACTCATAGTATACGACGCTTGAACGTTTTAATTTCAATACGATATTAAATTGCCATTTTATACGGTCAACAACCGTTAACGCATCGCCTCTATCGGTTCTTACGAAAGCTTTAATGACTTGTAATTTCCATCACACTGTCAAAAGCCTGAATGTGCGAGAGGCTTTTGAATCGACATCTAATGTTGCATGCATGACGCATCATTTTGTAGACTCAGATGAAGATATATGAACAATCGATACGAAACACCCAGATAAGGCATCGGTGACAAAAATTACATATCTTACCGTCGTGGGCGCAACGATCACTTCAGTTGATAAAAGAGATGATAGTTGAGGGGACGCACCTGATAAAAATCTTAAATTATAGCCCACCGAATGGTATATGTAAATTTGTGTGACATATTCTAGTGCAACAGGAAAAGGAATAAAGAAGGCCAATATTGATCTAACTGGTGCTACAGATTCTAATGGTTATTTACATAGTAATTTTAATAGCAATTCGTATAAACAATTAATCAATATAAAGTCGTATTAATAGCTATCTTTTATTAAAGTTCTATAACTTTAATAAAAGATAGGCCCGTTAGCCACCTTTGGATACTCTTTGCAATGTGGAACAAGGACTTCTTGTTTTGCCAAATGTCTATTGTTTTTACTTTTAATAATTATAATTAATTTATCAAATTCATCAACTAGCAATTCACTGTTTAACTCACAATCAAAGTGAATCATTGTTGTCTCATCGGTACTGAAATATCAGGTAAGCCAAGCTTATCGAAGCCTTACTTCCAATGTGGGTGTTGGAAGGTCAGGCTGAATCAGGCCTACTTATATAACTCAAGGTTAGTCGCCTTCGCATTGTCCGACTGTCACCAAAGAGATTACACCCTCACAACGCCTTCACCAATATACCCGTTTTCGCTATGATTTAATCGACTTGAAATTTCGCTATAGCTAACGTTTCACTACTAAACCTCTATAAGAAATCGTATTATCTTTCAAATATTAAAATGTAATAGCAGATCATTCCTTTTTGATAGACTATAATTATTCATCATTCAACCCGTAATGGTATTATCTATATTGGCAATATAAATTAGCAAATAAACCGTTACAGAAGTCATTTATTTGCGAAATAGATATTTTTACCAAAATTATATCAATATAGAAGTCCAAAGTTTAGTCATGATGTTGATTTTATTACACAATTTAGCTTAGCTTTGACGCACAACAATATGTGTGAGTAAAAAACGGGAGTGTAGAGTCCCAAAGGAGATAGAGTAGTAGATTCAAGTTTAAGTAAAACCAAGTACTTATAGTAAATAACATCCGATCAGGAAAGTTTAATTATTCATTATCCAGGTTTCAAGGACACTTCCCACCACGCTCGATCTTGTGAAATGAACTTGCTCACATGGTATTCCCTGCAATCGTCTCATTACTTATTTGAAACTGCGTTCAGTTTAACAAATGTTATAATGACACTGTCAACTCATTTTAATTTCATTACTTTTTACATATTACTTTCTCAAAACGTATTGTGAAAATATAATGGAAATATGATTTTTTAAGGCAGTTAAACGATTTTAAAACGATTCACCTCTTTGTGGTTTAAGATAACTTTATATTTTTATACTCTTGACACAGAAAATTTACAGTAAACTAAATCACTTGTAGATGAGATCGACAAAAACCACTTAAAAATCATGACAGGATTAATGTAATATCGAAAAAGCTTTCATTGTATATATTAATTTCTTTCAAAAACTAGAATTAGTCATATTCATTGCCACCAGTGCGGTGCCCACTTTATTAACTACAAAAAAATAATGTCTTAATAATTACCTTTATAAAGCCACTCTATTGTTTAATTAGTACCAACAAAGCTTTTAAGTGATTTCACATAACAGCATCATCACAAACTGAAGCATCTTCACACGATCATAAATGATAATGATGCATTAACACCCACACACAAATCACTCTATAGTGGACTTTACCGTACCTATGTGGGAGGGAGTTACAGTAATTTGTGATTATCGGAAACTTTATTTATTATACTTAATATCTCCATCAGACACGTGTATAAATTTATAAACTTCCGTCGTCACTTACGGTTAGATTTCCTTCCACAAAAATTTCAGTAATAAAATACCGTATTATGACAGGTTAATACAAATCAATCCCACATAACCATTACCATTGTCATTCAGTTATCCCTGATTTTTTGTTAAAGCAAAGCAGCATTTAGGGTAAATAAAATAAGTCTTATTTTTACTTTAGAAATCTTTGTGGTACTCCAAAATGCCTTTTATCAGGGATATGCAAATAAGTTTTTGCTTTTTGCTAGTTCTTTTCATTTAAAATAGGAGGCAAACAAGCATATTGACCTGCTGGATATTAAGCAGCCACCATAACCACCCATAGACGCTTACGATCAGGGATGTAACGGAGGTCAATTTATCGGAACCAAAGTCGGAGTCGAAGTTTTTAAATTTGATTTATCGGAGACGGAACCGGAGTCGGAGGCAGAATCGGAGTCAGAGACAGAGTCAGAAATGGTCACAAGAGAGAAATTTTTGCATTTAAGAAAAAATAAAAACATCATTCAATCAACCTTTTATTATTTTAATAAATAAAATAATCTTAATTCATTTAAAACTCATTATTAACACAGACTGCCAACGCGACCGGTATGAACCAGTTCGTAACGGTCGACGCAGGCCGCCGTCGCAATTTGCTATGATTCGACCTCCGACTTAAAAGTTTCGGAACCGAAGGTGTAATAATAATCGGAAGTTCTGACTTAACGGAATCGAAGTCGAAGCTCCGTAACATCCCTGCTTACGATAAGCGAGTATCTCCTCACTCTTACTCACCGACTGAAACACAACAATACTAAAACTAAAAGGTATGATAGTTCACTGAGATTTTCTGTAAGGGTAGGGATACATGCCCAGATGGGCGAGAAACCAATATAAACCTCTATTATTAGTATAATCCTTCTTAACTATATCACAAAAAACGGAATTGAAACAGGCAGAACAGACAATAATGTTTCCAATATATCTCTCCAACTAAATGGCATACCGTTGGTCCCGCCTGCATCTGTAGCCATTAGCACCCACAAATCCGCACTGGGTGGTCTGTGTGCCAAAAATTGGGATATTAATAGGAACATGATGCAACACGAAGTCAAAAAATTACACTACTTATACTTATATTACGTACATAACTTTTATTAGAATTTATTTGTGTATGTACAATGCTTTAAAAATAATAATTTTTATTATTTTTAAAGCATATAACTGCTTGATGTTTAAATCTAAAGAAAATATAACTAGAAAAAATTCCACGCGGACCAGGCAGCAGACGGGACTCGAACCCGCACCCTTCGCAATCCGGGCGAATGCACTGACCAATTATGCTACCGCGGCCCTCACGGACCGCGTCGAAATTCTTTCTAGCTATTCTTAAGCTGCAAGGCAGCGCCATCTCTTCGCATTATAGGTAAACCCACAATGTCAAATGAACTATAATTGCTATTTAATTAATTAATTATATTGAAATTATAACTATAATTGCTATTTCTTCTTTCAAATGTTTAATACCTATAATGCGAAGAGATGGCGCTGCCTTGCAGCTTAAGAATAGCTAGAAAGAATTTCGACGCGGTCCGTGAGGGCCGCGGTAGCATAATTGGTCAGTGCATTCGCCCGGATTGCGAAGGGTGCGGGTTCGAGTCCCGTCTGCTGCCTGGTCCGCGTGGAATTTTTTCTAGTTATATTTTCTTTAGATATGTACAATGTTTTATTTTTCTTATTAACTACAGTGCAACCTGCAAAGGGAACAAGTAAATATTATATCGAGTAATTCTTTAAACTGAGGTTTGTTATATTGAGGTTAGGTTGGTCTAAAATTTGTTATAAAGAGGTAAAAAAATAGTTTCCTGGCGTGGCGTGAATCACGTACTATGTGATTAAGGACCATATATTGATGGAAACGTTATATAGAGGTTTTTGGTTGACAAAATTCGTTGATTAGAGGTATTTACTCTTTTTTTGATAGTTGAAAATTTGTTATAAAGAGGTTGTTCGCAAAAAAAAATGCAATGTAAAGGTATATTTTACATTGACTCTTATGGAAAATTGAAGAGGATTACGACAAATTTGTTAAATCAAGGAAGTCGTTATATCGAAGTACATTATATTAAGGTTGCACTGTATTAAGCGCTACTTAACCATACCCTTGATAATACGCATCCACCCGTAGCTTAGATACACCATACAAATGGAAATTAGATCATTCCGGACAATCTTATCAGTGAAACAATAAAGTCGAGAGTACGATAAACAACCTATAGACTGACAACAATGAGGAAAGAAACCGCATTGGCATTTCCAACCCATTGAATACAATGCTGCGTGAAAGGCTATGTCACAGTCATGGCCAATGTTTCATTGGGCGATTTAAATAAATGAAGTGATAAATCTTAAGGCGCACCTCATCTTTGATCTTCTAGCAACACCGCAAGTGATACAATATAAACATGTGTATTATCAAAGCTGCAACATTTTCACTTCTCAAGCTTTCTCTATAGTAGCCTAGCAAACATACAAGTTAGCTGAATGGTGTATCAACGAACAAGAGTTTTTGAGGTTCCGATGACGATGGGTGGGTCAGAATACTTCGGTTAATGACTTCAACTAACACTCTTCCGTGAAATTTGGCAGTAAAAAAA